CTCGGAAAAACATCCTCGAATAGAGCGTCTCTCTCTTTCTCTCTCTCTCTCTTCCTATCTTTCTCCCGCTCATGCTATCAAAGAAATACTGTAATACTCGAACGTATGTTCTCGAAATTTTTCATTTTTTCCATTTTCGCGCCAGATACCCGCGAGCGAGAAAAGAGAGAGAGAGAGAAAGAATAATGGGAGGAGAGGTATGATGGACCGAAGACGGAGGAGGAAAGCGGGATCCGCGCGGGGGTGTCTATCCATGTGGGAAAGGTTCGTTAAATACGCACCCATTCCGCACGTTATTGACATACACAGAGAGTTACCGAGAATGTAAACTGCGACAAGACGTGCGCCTTGTCAAGCCGATCTCGTGGCTCGCGCTCGCGTTACTGTCTCCTCGTCATTGTTCGTTTCGTCCGTTTCTCTCTACGTGCACTTAACGTTACTCGTTCTCTACGTTTTCGTTCTTATTTTTGTATAATATCCCCTTAATACGTCATAAATATCACTCGCGAGTTTTGTTGTCCTTAGCATTACGGTGTATGTATATAATTATATTTTTTTGTTCATATATATATGTATATTAAAGTATATATATATATGTAGTATCACTAGAGAATATTACTTGTTTCGGAAGGATCGGATCCTTCCAATCCTCAACGCTCTCGGATCCTTCCTTTCTCTCGGCGGCTCGTTTATTATTATCCAAATCCTTTCGCATCTCGAGAGTATTCGTTTGCATATGTATATATATCTAGGAGATTATCTCTCTATCGATTACGCGCGCAAATAAGCGCCGACGCATTTTGTATTTTCGTTAATAATACTCGTAATAATAGTGTAGTTTAAAGTTTGAGTCAATCGCTTATTGCTCGAAATTTCTCACATCCTTCATATGACTCCTCGTCGAAGACGCCCCGTGTTCGTCCCGCCGACAATTATCTTTTCTCATTTAAATTCGCTCCGAATTCCAGCCGGAAAGGGAAACTATTGAAAATATTCGCGCGTATATTCGGGACTCGTCGATACCGATCGACGAAATGAGATCATTTGGGCGATAAATGCCCCTCCTCGTTCTGCCCATGCATCGCACTTGACGCTCTTACAAACTATCGATAATGTACGAAATAAAAAGAGAGACGCGCAATAGAAAGTAAAGAAAATAAATTAAGCGAATATACCGCGCGGTGATAATCTACGGTCGCGTGAAACAACACTTGGAAAGCTTCTTACAGACTAAGACACGAATCGACGAATTTCAAGCGCTTTAACAAATAATTTAAATAATAAAAGCAAAGAGAAAAAATCGTAAAAGGGACGGGATAGATATCGGTTGAAGGATACTTCGCGTATTTACACGAGAGCTTGATAAGATGACGAACATCAACGCAAATCGTCGCGAAAATATTTAAACGTACTTGTCGCGGCGAGTCGATCTCGGGGCGTATAAATTTAATATCCGTCTCTCTCTCTCTCTCCCTCTCTTTCACAAATTCCTTAACGAATATCTTTATAATACCTTTCTCATGAACGCCTTAACTTTACGCGACTTAAGACTTAATACCTAATTTATCGCTTGAGTTATACGTGAGCTAATCTCAATCTTGGGTTCCCGTTTCTCGCAGTTTAATTAAACGCACAGTCGCACAAATTCTCTTAAGTGTATTTATAAAGATGCGTAATATAATATCTTTTAAGTATCTGTTTCTCTCTCTCTCTCTCTCTCTCTCTCGCATGTCCAGAGGGAGCCCCCCTTGTATTCCTTATTGTTACAAGTTATTCGCTTAAGTATCTATGTCCGCTATCATCAATAATGCTATCTGTGTATGAATATGTGTGTGTGTGTGTGTGTGCTTAAGATTAACTTAAATAAAACTGCCGACTCGCCCTCTCTTAGGAGCTCATTAAGTAACGCCGACGCTGTTCAATCAATTTCTTAACAACTATACAGCGCAACTTGTTTTTGCGCGGGTTACAATCGCGTTACACTTGTATGTCGCTAAAAGTCTTATTTGTTTAACGCGATTTGAATTTAATCAAATTACGTTCGCATGTATATGTGTGTGTGTTGCTAGTCTTATTTAACGCGATGGAGAGCGGAGAAATATTGTCTTCCATTATTTGAAGAAAAATATATATATATGTATATATATATATATATATATATATATATATATATATATATATATATATATATATATATATATATATATATATATATATATATATATATATATATATATATATATATATATATATATATATATATATATATATATATATATATATATATATATATATATATATATATATATATATATATATATATATATATATATATATATATATATATATATATATATATATATATATATATATAT